ATTGGAGAAATGGGAGAAGTCACACAGCACTGGTATGATTCCATTACCATTGTTTGCTGAGGCCTACTATGGCAGGCCAACTGAGAAGCTGCAAGACCATCCCCATCCCATGGTCAGCTCTGTCTGGTACCTGGGACATGAGGACTGGACCATAACCCGGGAATATCAACAGCAGCTTACCCATAGATCCATGTTACTTCGGATTGGAGTTTTCTTCATCTAAGAGCTGATGGGGCCACAAAGAGCAAGCAATCCAGACGCCTCTATGAATGAGAGTGATATTACAGACGTGCGGCAGGGATACAAGGGGTCAGGCCCTAGCTATTATCTACTGACTCTCAAATACACTTCTTAGACACCTGGCAACCTTTTGTACCACTAGATGGGGCAGGCTTTCAGAAGTGAGTGCATGGGGCTCCAGGAAGGTGGCTGCTCACACATTTCACTGCCATACGTCTTTCCTTAATGAAGTCTCTGCCCAAGAGTGGTGGCTTTTAAATATGTACGTGCCAACACATGTTTGCACTTGGGCATGAGATGGTTCAACCTCCATGCCCTCTGTTGCTCTCTTATACCATCCATTGCCCCTGTTTTACAACTTACAAAGCTTGATTTTAACTGTGACTAAAGCCAGGAACACACACAAAATTGTGCTTGAAGACATGCTTGGAAATCCACTTGGTAAATAAGGGTAGACTTTCCCTTCTTGGATTTGTAAATACAAATTTACATGAAAGGTTTGCACAAACATTGATATTGAAACTATGTTTCCTTCCCATCCACATAGCAAGACCAATTTAGTCTCTTTGAGTAGCAGAGTCACACATTTCACTTATTGGGGTGACTCTCAGTCAGGGTGATGAGTAAACCCTTTACAAACCTTGGTGTGTAGAAACCTCCAGATGTGCTGAGGTAAGGCTCATTACCTCAAACTCACTTCCCTTTAGCCTTTTAGCAGCTGACACTCCAACAATGACATTGTAACTCCTTTGTGCTCAGGGTAAGCGCTTACGTGGTGATAGACATGAAGACCCAGCTTGAAACAGAAGACCCGTGTTTTGTAAATCTGTGTTGGCTTTTCTGTCCAGGCCTTAGAAGGATCTGTAAAATACTAAAGTGTGTTGGTGCAAAGGGAACAGATGTCTGTGGAGAGCTGGCAGCTAATATTTCACGAACAACCTCCGCTGTAGCAGAGCTCTGTGCAACAGAGGAGAGACCTGTAGAAAGCATGGGGCCAGGCTGGGGACTGAGAGAGTTCTGTGCATGAGAAGCCGTGCTCCAGACACAATATGATGAACACACTGTGTGGAGGGAACTCTCCCAGTCTCCATCTCTGCATGTGTGTGGTACCTGCGTGGCAGAGGTTGAAGAGACAGATTTGCATATTCTTCCTGACTGTGTCACCTACTGTTTCGTGTTTGTCCTAAAGCGGGCCCCGTTTCTTAAGCAAGACCCCAGGCTCACAAGGAGGCTGGTTAGTGTGTGCCCTGGTCTACAGTTGAAGCAGTCTGCCCATGTGCTGAGAGGCTTCAAACAGGGCAGGATCAGCAGTGCTCAGTTCTGGGCCCCAGAGCCACCTTCTATCCCGGGCCCTCTGCTCTCCCCTCTCCCCCATTCTGCCTACAGCTGGTCAAAGTGCACCACACCACAGACCTCCTTTCGCTTCTGAAGAGGGGAGAGTGATGATTAACAGCAACCATAACAGAGATAACCACAGAAACAGGACAAGCCTGCCTCTCTGCATGGTGGAGCACCATAGAGGAACAGCCCATTCAGGTGCCACAGCTAAGAGGTGATGCATGCTAACCCAGTGAAGAACACACACATTGAGCTTCTTTCTGAAGAATTCATGAAGGCAATTGCCCCTTCCCCTGCCTGAGCCACACTCAACTGGAGATCACCACCACAGGCCGAAGTGGAAAGGGGAGCGTCCTTAGTGGAGGCCCTCCCTGGCCATGCCTCACTGGGGCGCAGCCTTGAAGAGCAGAGTGCACACTGCCACTGGAGATCTGTTGGAGGAGGCACAGCATGGGACGCCAGCATGGCAGGTGTAAGTAGTTGGAGCTTGGATGTAGGGATGGACGCCAGGCAGCGTCTCTTCATCTTAGAGATAAGGGCACTGCCCTAACCACCTCTGACAGATAATGACAAAGTGCTTTGAAAAGCTTCAAGCCCACAACTTAATGAGACAGGTGTGGCTACAGCACAACCTTGCTCTTTGAAAGTTCTGAGAGTTGATTTTTATCAACTGATGAATTCTTCCCAGAGCCTCAGGCCTGAGTAAGGCAGGATACTAGGTGTGGGATGCAGGACCCAAGATGACGGACCAAGGACACAGGTTGTTGGATACTGGACAGAGATGAGTCCTCATATACCAGCCCAATTGTGTTCAATATTTCCACATTGGACATCCAGGTGAACAAATGCATTTGACCAGAGAAACTGCTGCTTCAGAGGGACCCAAGCTCGGGCTGTTCCAAAAGATGACAGTGAGAAATGGGAGGTGGGAACAGGCTAAGAAGAAGCTTGTGTCCAGGGGTAGAGGCCGAACCAGAGACAGGTCCAGAGAGGACATGTCAGGCTGGCTGCATGTAAGGAGGGTGTCAGCTCCACAGGCTTTGAGACCAGGCCCCAGGATAGTCTAATTGGGTTCTGCTTTGACACTTGGAGGAGGACAGGCTTTCATGCATGTGGATTTATAGTATAGCATTGTCCTCCAGATTGGAAATAGCATTGCTGTCTTGAAGTAGAGAAGCTGTGACCACCTGCTCTGGATCCTTACATTGTATTAATTGTCCATCATGGAGGGAGGGGGAAGGTCATGAGGTTCAGGAAAGCTTCATGGAGACCTCCCTAAGCTCCTCCCCTCTCTGATATTATGTAAGAAGCAAACAGTTGCCAGGGGTAGGGCTTCTTGGTTTATCTGCATGTGCCTCCCCTATGCTCCTGTGAGAAACCTTAATAAACTAATTGGTTCACCAAGCTGCACTTGGATGGAACTGTCTTTAGTCTGTCTGGGGCAAAAAGATATTTCTCTATGTCTCCCCAGGAAGCTATAAATTGTCTTTGTGTTCTTTCTTGATGTCAATGCCCTTGGTTCAAAGCTCAGAGCCCACAGCAGCATGGGGGTTAGGGGATGACTTCAAGGGACAGAGACAGGCCTGGACACAGGATCGTGAGTGGAAATACACCCCCACCCCATGTTGCCTCCTGGGCCTCAAGTCCTAGCCTCTCCACGAAGCCCAACCAGAGACTGATGTTGCCCAATTTTACACTGGGTCCTGTCTCCTCGGGCCAATAACGTACCCATATGGCTGAGCAGTGGCTCTGGGAGCGGGGAGGGTAGGAACAATAGGCATTTCCTAGAAATGTCCATCCAACTCTGTCTCCATCAACTGGGAAGCTACACTCCCTACACCTGAACAGGATGAAGCAGAGAATATGGACAAGTCCACCTCACTTGGTTTGCCCAAAGGTGAGCCTGGATTGTGGGAGACAGTGGAGCACAGTGAAGCCTGTTCTTGTTGGAACCTTCCTTTTGTTTCTTCAGTGATGGTGATGGCTGTATTTGCAAACACTCCCCCAACCACAGCTGTGGACACTGGTCAATAAGCCCTTTCCTGGAACTTCCTTTCTTCTTCCTCAGTTGCTGTTGTAGGTAGAACCCTTTCTCAGATAAAGGAGGGATGAGGTTAGGTGAGTGACCTGGTGGGTAAGGGGTCCATTCCATCTCTGTCGTGTCTGTGGTTGTGACATGACCCTGTTTAGGGTAAGCAAAATTTGCACTGGTTTTTTTTTTTTTTTTTTTTGTAGTCAAGAATCCTCTGGGGTTGGGGATTTAGCTCAGTGGTAGAGCGCTTACCTAGCAAGCACAAGGCCCTGGGTTCGATCCTCAGCTCAAAAACAAAAAAATCCTCAGTATCAACAACTCCAAAGGACTTCAGAAGTACATCCTTAGCTATACAGTGAGTTCAAGGCTAGCCTGGACTACAGACCCTGTAGAGGAGGAAGGGGGAGACATAAAAGACTACACATCAAATGAGTCAATATGTAGGAAATTCCAGAATTGGGGAATATACAGAGAAAGAGGGGGAAGAGGGTTCATGGTTTCCTGGGGATGGGGTTCTTTGGCAGAAGCAGGTGCTGAAGTAAGGAGTCATTCTAGGAGTCGGAAGTTCTAGAGCTGACTGTGCTGACACAACTATGAACAGACTAAAGGCCGCTGGATAGTGCATCTTGAGTGGGAGAGTTGTAGCGTATGTGAACCACATCTTAAGGGAGCTGGGAAAGAATGAAGGCTGTGTACCAGGCATGACTTACAGAGAAAATGATGCATTTGTTCTTGAAGCCATTTCCAGAGACGTGTGTTAAGAAGACAGGGCTCTGTGGGCAAAGTAGGGAGCCAAGCAGAGAAGTATCACCAGAACAAGCCCAGGCTCAAGGAAGAAGGGAGAAAGAGATCTCCCTGAAGATAAGCAGGTCAGAGAACAGAGTGGCTGATCCCCTCCAAGGGAGAAACTGCCAGAGGGGATACAGAGAGGGGTTTCAGAGGTTGGCCAGGAGGAAAGGGGCTGGTTAGAGCCAGATGGACCGACTATGACCAGCAAGGACCAAAGTCAAAGAGAAGGGTGCAGAGCCTGTCCAAGCTGACGGGCAGTGCTGGTCCTTCATCAGTGTGGGACTCAAAGAGGCCAGAGCTAGGCAGATGTCCTGGAAGGAAGGGAGAAGGGTCTATCCCAGCAGGCCAGGACAGTTTGTTCCTACCTGCTCTCCGTCTCTTCCAGGTACCTTCTATCTCCGCCCCTTGCCCACCACCTCGCTGAGCTTGTGCCTATCCCTTCTTCCAGCCAAAGTAATCAAGAAGAGTCTCTAAGACCTAGGTGACCCCAGGGTTCTCCCTTCCAAAGGAGGATTCTAACACTCACCGACCTCTTTAATTTGGGATCTGAAGACCAACGTTTGGGAGGGGTGGAAGTTGTCTCCCACAAGAAACCTCAGAGGGCCAGAAACCCGGAGTCCACTGCAGGCCCGTGTATACTCATAGGTGCCCTGCATCAGTCTCCGTGGCTGTGTGAAGCACGGCAGGACGCAGTCGCTTTGGTTCCGACCACCTAGTAAAGTCCCAGTGCAAAGGGGTCCAGTGCGCTTTGGGCCGCGGCCGCGGGGGGCGCTGCGAGAACTGCTGTTAAAGCCCTGTCGCGGGCGCGCGCTCTCAGAGGGATCCCGGCCGCTGCCCGCACCGCTGTCTCCCGCTGCCGGGCCAAGCCTCGTCCGACGGCCCCGTCCGGGATCCAGGCTTCACGAGTCGCTCTCGGCGCACTATCCACCCGGCCCGGCCTCTGAACCTCGGACGTGCACCTGAAAGCGCGGCGGGAGGTCCAGGCCCGGCGGCAACATGGGGAAATTTCAGTCCAAGCACGGTGAGGTGCGGGCCGGGGGTGGGAGGAGGGAAGCGGGAGAGGGGGACAGGAGTAGGGGGGGGGGGCTCCGCCACTCACTGTCCCTTCCCTCTTCCCCGCGTCCTCCGGCCGCGCCGCAGCCGCAGCAGCCTGCAAGCGGAGAGAGAGCCCCGAAGGTGAGTCCCAGCGCGGCCAGGGCGCGAGGCGGCCCCCGGGCCGGATGCGCAGAGCTCCGGAGCGTGGGGCGCGCCTTGCCTCGCGCCCTCGGGTGGGACACTCCATGGGTCTCCCGGAGCGCGTGGCCCCGCGGCTCTGGGGACCGGGTGGGCGCCTCGAGGCGGACTTGGCAGAGGCGCACCCCGCGGGGCTCACGGTCTTCTTCCTTCTCCGTGGGTTCCGTGTTTCCCACGCGTCTGTGGGCGGGCCGCAGGGGACAGCTTCGTGGTGTCTGCGTATGCGAGCGGCCGCAAAGGCGCGGAAGAGACCGACCGGCGCGCAGGCGGCGTCATGGAACATCGCGCACGGGACAAGCAGGTAAGCGACTGGGTGGTGGGCGGGGTCGCACAACCGCGAGCCTCGCAGGACTGGGGAATATGCCCCGAGTTGTGCCTCTTTATCACTGGGAGATGCAGAAGGCATGGCTCAGATGACTGGCCAGGATAGCCCATCCCTTCCCAGCATCTGGCATAGTATCCCAGAGGGGGCTTGTGTGGAGGAACTGGAATCCCCAAGCCCTAAATTAGGGGTGGACTGGTGGATCACCTCTCAGGCAGGAGGAGCTGGTGAAGGGACTGTGCGGCAGAGATGGGGATCAACCGGGGCCATGATATCAGTATTCCAGGCTTAAGGAGTTGGGGGACCTCCCCATCCGTTGATGGATGCTATAGGGCCGGTTGCTTGCACAGTGAAGTTGTCAAGAGGTAAGGGTTACCTTGCCTCACATCTTTTAGAGAGAGGACCACAGGCCTACAGGGAGGGTCACAGGTCAGATGGGCAGTGGGAAAACTGTGCTCCCCAAACCACAAGTATTCTGACAGTAGATTATCAAAGTGCCAAGTGTAGGGGCAGAGAACTGCCCAGGGCCAGGGCCCCTGGGGTGAGGTGTAGTGGGTCTACCAAGAGGAAGTGAACCTTAGGTTATTGATGTTAGGGAGATCGGATTATGAGAGGACAGCTACATTATGCTTGCTGACCTACAACTTGCTCTCTATTGCTGGCTCCGCTCTACAGGCTCCTCACTGGCCCTGAGCTCTGTGAAGTCGGCAAGTGGACTGGGATCAGTGTTCTTTCTGGAAGGACCTTCTGGCTGGTGCATAGAAATGTCTGGGTGTTTGTGAATACTTTGTGTGGCCCCGACCTGAGCCTTGGGCCTGCATAGGCTCAAATTAATATGTACCAGAGTTTGGATTTGTGCTTCCTGGGAGGATCTGTTGTCGCTGTAAACGTGGGTGTGCTGAGGCATTGTGGGTACATTGTGGAGATTCAGATGGTCATGTGCTGTCCATTTCTGAAAGAGGAGACCAGGCCAGGCAGCCAAGGTGCTGCCCAGATCCATCTTGCTGCCACTTATATTTGCTGAGGAATTCTTGGTGGCCAACTGATGCCTCTGAACTGCTTGGTTCTCAGATGCATGGTTAGCCAGAGATGTAAAATTGGGGCTGGCTCTGGGACCCTGGGACTCTTGTTCATGTCATGGGAAAGCATTCAGGCTGGCCCTACCCCTTAGCTGTCAAGCCTGGGGGCTTTCTCCCTAGCAGCAAGTCTGGGCTCAACCCTTGGAATCCCCACTTGAGAGCAATAGTGTTCAGAATGGGGCACAATTTAGCCGACAAAGAAGTGTGTGTTGCGGGAGTTGGAGGGCCAGAGCATCTCTTCTGGAGAGTGCAGGTGCTTCCTGTGTAGTTCTGGAATTACTAAAGTGAAGCTGTGATCTTAGGACCATGAATACCACACTTCGGATCTTGTTGTTGTTGTTGGGTGCGTTCTGCCTTGCATTGTTTCCTCTTAGCTTTGTCCTTCTTTCATGATAAGGCCTTTCTAAGGTGGAAAGAGCAGTCTGTAGGACTGACTTAGCTTAAGTAGCTGTACTCAACAACACTGTATGTCCTGGGTTGTCCTTTTCTGGCTGTGGCTCCTGGCCAGGTAGCACCTTGAGTTGAGATCCTAGCCTAGGATCCACCCTCACTAGGCTCAGGAATTCTTTAAGCCACTTTGCTGCCCTTGTGCCTGGCAGTTGTTGCCCAGGTCTGGGAGGGACTCTATCCTCATACTGTATCTTCTGTCTGGAAAGCTCAGTCGGGACAGTCAGAGCTGGGTTTATGTCCTTTCTCAAATCCTTTTCACGGTGTCCAGAGTTCTGCCCAACTTAATGTGGTGGAGAACAGGAGCTGTGCCCTGAAGAGGCCAGCCCTGATCGTACTGCACAACATTCCATACCATCAATTCCCAGTGGCTTGTGACCTCTTCTGGGTTCTCATCTGCTCTTTTGCTTTTGACTCTGTTACTAAGCTGTATAGGTCTGTGCATCTGTGTGCATCAAAGTGTCCTGGGTGCCACTTCCTGCCTTGAGTGGCCATCCTTGCTATTTCCAGAAGCTCTGTTGTGTGGCAGCACCTGTGTGGCCCCTCGCCTGTGGGGTGGGGTCTAAAGAGAGGGGCATGGGTTAGTTAACGATAGCCAAGTCATGGTTAAGAAAGAAGTGTGTGACATCGAAACTACGGTGGTCACAGGCTTTGAGAGAGTACTGACGGGGCTGTAGTTGAGGCGGCAGTTGGTGGTGGCTTTTCTCAAAGTGGCTGAGTAGTCATCCATGGGGCTCCACACTGGATAATTTCCTTATGTGTGTACTTGTTCCACCAGACTATCTTTAATTTCTCCAGCTCCCCCTGAAGCTGGCAGGAAATTGCTCAGATGAGAGTCACTGTTTTCTGTTATGAATTAAACACAGACTTCCATTTAGCCTCAGGAAGGAGCATTCTGGCTCACTCTAGTGGTGGAGTTTTAACTTGGACTCTGAGGGATCTGTCTGTATGTAAGTTGAGGAGCGCCACCTAGAACCATGTCCATGGCTGTCTGTGGACATTCCACAGCTGTCTATATTTGCCAGAGGGGAGGACATGGGTGCATGGCCTGTTGAGGGCTGTGTGTGACTGTCTTGGACAAACGTGAACTTCACAATGCCACTCACTAGCTCCACCCATATGTACTTGCCTGTTCTCTGTGTGCTGCTACCTTTCAGAAGGAGATAACCTTAGAAGATATGGGAATGACCAGTGTGAGATCCCATGGTTCCTTCGGGGGCTGAACTCTAGACCAGGGCTGAATTCACTGTGCAGACCTTGGCTTCTAGCAAAACAAAAACAAACCAACAGCCCTCCTTCATTATCACCTTGTCTGCAGGTTCCTCAGAACTGGAAAGCTTGCCCACCCATGCTTTGGTTCCTTCTGACTGGCTAGAATTCTCTGGAGCTGGCTGAAGAACCTCAGCCTCTTAGCTCTGCTGCTCCTGCTGTGGCAGAGGTAGTCAGGCATTCCCCTGACCTGGGCCAGGAGCCACCTCACCTGAAAAATTACATGCTTCTGTTAGGGAAGGGGAGATGTTAGCCTTTGAGAAACTCCTCATGTTTTTGTCACAGCCTAAATACCTCCCTATCCCTGGTTGACCCAGAAATATGACAACATGGGCCATAAGATGTCTGCAGGGGAGATATGGAGCTCCAGGGAGGTGATGGGGACATCATGCTTCCTCCTCAGCTGCTGAGCCTTGGAGCCCCCAAGAAGAACAGTATTTCCCTGGGACTGCCCACAGAACAGCTGGAAGGGAGGCCCTGAAGGCATGGGGTAGAAGAGGGGTAGCCTGGGTGTCAAATCCATCACGGCACGTCATCGTTGTTCCTCGTTCTCTCTGTGAGCTCCGTGTCTGGCTTTTGGGACCCAAGTCTGACTCTTGAGAAGTTGGCACAGAAGTGCATAGTGGCCCTGTGGCTCACTGTGATGCAGGGACATCAAGGACAAGCCTGGGGGACCAGCAATCTCAAGGAACACTGAGGATCCCCAAGATCAAGTAGTCAGGTAGCATTGAATCACTGTCCCTTCTCTGCTTCTGAAACTGCTGGTGTCTCACTGACCCCCACATAATCTGTGATAAACTGAGTGGTTCTTACCCAAGGTGATTAAGTGAGCTAGAGAGGCCTCAGGAACTACCTGGCTGATTTGCAGGAGATGCCTCTAGGAGAGAGGAGACAAAACTGGCCTGAGGACCCAACCTGAAAGAGCTGGTAACAATGTTTTCAGGCACATGGCTAAAGTTTACTTCCCACGATGTGGATAGTGCTAATTAGAGAAGGGAAGGGAGGCACAGGCCACTGGGCCATCCCTGTGTTGATGTTATCTCAGGGGTTAAGGCCTCTGGAACTAGCCAAGTGCCATGCAGTCAATGTCTGACTCAGTCTGGTACTTGTAGGAGGCCCTGGGGCTGCTGCGATGTCCTCTGCCACTGAGAGACCGTGTATACTTGGGCTCTGCTTTTGCTCATTGGCTAGCACTCTGCTGTCTTATGACAGGAGCTCTGGGACACTGACCATATGAGGCCACAGTTAGGGTTGTGGCCACAGAGGCTGGAGGGGCAGATTCCTGATGGCTACAATAGGGAATACAGTTGGCTGGCACAGCCTCTCTCTCTGTGTGCATTGGTCGTTGGAGGCGTGTTTCCCTGGGATTCAAGTTCTTTGAGAGGATCCCAGGAAGAGCAGGAAGTGCCCCCTGCTGGGCACAGAGGGAGTAGATATGTGCAGATATGCATGTGCCCACCTCTGCATCTGAAGAGCACCATGTAAAGGGCCTAGGCCAAGGCTCCAAGATGTGGGACATTTTGCCCAGGCTGCCACCTGGACTTATACCTGGGACTGAGGCTTATACCTGGGTAGCTTGTCATGTCTAGGCTTCTAGAGCAGCTTCAGATCACAGCTGCTAGTTTGCTGCTGAAGGAGCTAAAATGTTGGCTTCCTAGAAGTATTAATAAAAGTGGAGAAGTGGCTTCACCCTGCCCTTGCCGGCAGACTGGCCACTTTGGCAAATGATGCCACCTCCACAGAACTCATGTTACTTCCTAGTTTTACTTGTGGCTGAATAATTTATCCATGAAAGTTTTGTGATTTACGTGTGTGTGTGTCTTCTCTGTGTGTGCATGTGCACATATATGTATGCACATGTGTATGGAGGCCAGAGGTCAACCTTGGTAATGATTCCTCAGGAGCCATCCACCTTGTCTTTTGAGATAGTCAATGAGAGTCAACCTGTGATTATCACTGTTGACCAGAAGTCCTGTTCAACCTGGAGCCCTGGTGAGGAGTGAGGGGTCCGAGGTGAGCTTGGGGCAAGACCAGCAGGAGTGTCATGGCTAGGAACCATGGCTCCAATCATACACAGGGGAATGGCCTGGCCTCATGAGCAGTCTGTCCTGGAATTGTAGTCCAGCTTCATGTGCAGGAACAGGCTGGACAACTTCCCAAGGGCTATAGTTTGTCAAGAGCTGG